TCCAGCTTGCCTTCCCATTATGAGCTTGGGTTTTAGTTTCAGAATGCTGTCAAAATAGCACCAGAGTGTTTAAGACCCCAATTAAAGAAAAAAGGGGGAGACCAAATAGTGACCAAAATCCTGTTGGGCAGGGTCTGCCTGTGGAATGAGAATGAGAGTAGCAGCAGTGGCAAACTGCCACTGATTAAGGGCTTTCTTTTGCAATTTCAGGGCACATGAGATTTGCTGCATTACATGCAAGCTGTGGGCACCCTGAAATTGTATAAGGGAGCCTTTGATCAGGAGCAATCTGCATCTGCCTAGGACATCATTCCTGTTGTGCAGGAAGAGCTTCACAACAGGATATCAAACATCATGTGTTCCATGCATGCGATGTATGTGTGTTTTTGTTTCATCTTAAGAATGTCAACACTGGAAGGAATTTTGTTCCGTTTAAAGTTCTTACTTAATAGATTGTTTTTGTATCTCTTAAGATCTTTTACAAGAAAAAAATCCACCTCACCCTGGAAGGTACCACATTTGTGAGGTTTGTGTTATATTTCAAGGAAATAAAGACTGAAATCCTCTTGGTTAGGGTCCGCCTGCATAATGGGAATGACAGTAGCAGCATCTGATAGAAGGCTTCCTTTTGTGATTTTCACTGCATTGTAAGTGAAGCACATGCACTCCAAAATCACAAAATGAAGTCTTCAGTCAGCATTAATCTGCTGCTAATGCCACTGAGTAGATGGAGATAGGCAACAGGATTATGTACAGCTACAGTACATGTTTTTTTAAAAGGTGTGGATGTAAATCTATACAATGAAAAAAAATACACATCAACATCTTTTAGTTACTGGGGGATGTATACATTAAAACATACACAGAATTCTTAGTGTGAAAAAAGATGCACAACTTCCCTTGCCAGAAGAAGAAGAAAAAGTCTTGCAATATGATGCAAGCTAAAGACAGGGGGAGACATTTGCTTCCTGTTAAATACATAGTTAGCTCACATTCACACAGTCCTTAAGATGTGTTGGCCATTTAATGTTAATATAAACTGATACTATTATTTGAAATATAAGTCACTAGTACATAGTTGTCACTGGACTTTTTTATAATTATGAGTAAATTGGAGATTATTTCATCCCAGTGTTCGATGAGTAACATACTTTTAACAGGCATAGTAGGCTTAAACATAGCCAAGCTAATAATACATTTCAACACATACTCTCCATGATGTACTCATTCTTTAATTTGGTTGGACTGATCATGACCACTCAGATTTTAATTACTTGGGAAATTAATTCCCATGGTACCACAGCTGCTTACAACACATCGCTCTCCATTGCCCTTAAACTGCTGAAGACAACCAGAGCAATGTCCTCTATGGGGAGGTGATCCCTTTGAAATGATGGATTGAAGGCAAGAATGATAACACAAATTTAGGAGGAAATTGAGTTTAATGTTGAGAAAATGATAAAGAAGGTGGAGATAATGATTAAGAGGAGCCAGAGAGACAGAAGTGAAGGAAAGTACTGCAAAGAGAACAATAAAGCAAATTAGCTGAAAAGTGGATTTGTAGTGCATACTAACTCACTCCTCAGGAACTAAAGGGTTTTCATAAATTCATTATGTAAAACACAAATGACCCTAAATCAAAACCACTGCACGGTGCATAGCAACCTGAATGCTGGATTTCACGTGTGTCCAATTTACCATTTTAAGAAACGGAAAGCTCAAAACTATCAATAGCTTCAATTTACTGTATGTGTCCAATTTACCATTTTAAGAAACAGAAAGCTCAAAACTATCAATAGCTTCAATTGTGTGCATAGTGCAGAATGCAGATCCTTTCTGCTTGTTCCCAAAGTACCAAGGCAAGAAAGATGTTGGAAGACCATAAATGGACTAGTCCAAGCATACCTTTCTTTGTTTATTCTTGAATTCTCATATCTATACTTGGAGCTCATTGCTTAAAGGAAAGGAATAAATGAGGGGAATTAAATCTGAAGACAACCAATATATGTGAAAGGTAAGATTTTCCTAAGCCAACATCACCAGGTGGTAAGTATATTCACATGCCCTCTCCAGCTTTACAAATTCTGATGACTGCTTCCTCTAGAGATGTACTGAAATCCCCCTTTACCTCCTAAGGGGATAAGGCAAAGGATATGTTTCCCCACTGTGCATGAGACAGAGTAGATCTACGTTGGTCATATGCACAATGGTGGCTTATGAACCAAGACAGGATTGTGGAGACTCCATGTTACTGGAATAAACTAAATTAATTAACATTTAGTCAAAACATTCTTAGTAAAGTTGGGCTTCAACTTCATAATCCCCATGTTTTCTACCAGTGTTTTATTTAAGCAAATATTTCACTCACTATCAGCACAGCAATGGCAATCAGGCATTCTGAAGCAGGTTTCGCTGTTTGTTTTTAATAATGTGGAGAATTATACTTAGATCAGTTAACAAATTACACTGCAATAAACTTTAGAAAATGATTGAGATTTACATTCATATAAAAAGCAGCATCTTCTTCAAGTGCTATCAGTCTAGCCTTTGTTCTTCTTCTGTATACAGAAGTAGCTTCCATACTAGTAAATCCATTAATCTAACTTGTACAAATCATTCTTGGATATGAAAATATTTATTAGCTTAAGAATTATCCATTGCAATGATGAAAGCACCAGACCAGGCAACCCTTAATTTCATTCTTCATTCAAAATTTCTGTTGGCTGGACAGACAGATACCAAAGACAGAGTATATGATTTGCACGCATAACATCTAGGTTCAGACAAATAGCAGCTTTGAAAATACATGTTAGGAGTCTACTTTAAGGTATCATTCATTATGCCAATGTTATTTGAAATTCAGTAATCTATATAAAGCCTTAATCTCAGAAATGTTAAACTCTGTGTCAAGCCAACCTAGTAAAACATTCTGAAACAATTAGAAACATTTTTATGCATTCAGTTGTTCTGCAATATTTTATTCTCTCTAAGAGAGTAAGAAATGGGGTATGGAGGAATAACTAAAATAAGAGATTCCAGAGGAAAAACTGGTAGTTGTTAAATACGCATGAGGATTAAGTACAGCAAAGAATACTTGCTGTATGAGGAAGAACTCTGGAAAGCAATGAAATGTCATCCATGAGTCTGACCTCACCACACTCTGGTTTCTGGAATATAAGACTATACCCAGCCCACACATTTCAAATTTTTACTCTCCATATAAAGCTGCCTGACAACATCTGTCCAGCCAAAACAATCTTCTGACTATTGGCGGGTTCTCAAGGTTTGAAGCAGCTGTTTTCTAACCTTTCTACACAATATTGTTTATAACTGGAGGTCAGAGCTATAACTAGAGTGGAACAGCTGAGGCTTTGCTCCAGGGCACCAGCATTTAGAGGGCACTGAAGCCTAGAGAGGAATCTACCAGCAAGTGTCAGAAAAATAAGCAACAAACTTCCTGGCCCTAGTGACTTCCCTTCCCTTCCCTTTTGAAAGCATAACATTTTTTTTCCTTTTGTTGGTTGCTCACATTCTCCTCCTCCTTTTTCATAGGGGTGTGTGCCATGCTCATGCTTCAAGGCAGAGGGGACAGGAGATGGTGGCACTTGCCCCAGGCATCAAGATGGTTAAATAAGGTTCTGCTGGAGGCATCAAGTACTGAAGCTAGATGTTATGCACACTAATCATATGCTCTGTCCTTAAAATCATCAGGGCTGGAAACCAGGGTTCCTAAGAACAGAGCTCAAAGTTATAAAGGATTTGATTTGACAGTGACATAATACAAACATGGGCAAAAAACATACAAACAAGTTGTTTGGAAACCACTTCTTTTTAAAAAGCACATTGTACATTAACTTAGGCCAAGCAGGGACTGCTTACATGTATGAGATTAGTTTTTTTTTGGGGGGGGGGAAGAAAACATATTTGATATTTGGACTTTTCGTCTGCTGAGTTTTAGACAGGCTAAAAAGGTAAAGGTAAAGGTTCCCTTTGATAATTTTTGTCCAGTCGTGTTCGACTCTAGGGGGCGGTGCTCATCCCCGTTTCCAAGCCATAGAGCCAGCGTTTTGTCCAAAGACAATCTTCCGTGGTCACATGGCCAGTGCGACTTAGACATGGAACGCTGTTACCTTCCCACCGAGGTGGTCCCTATTTATCTACTTGCATGTGTTTAAGCAAATTCTAGGTATTCACCCAGCAGCTTATAACTGAGAAATAGGACTTGATGTGGAGTGTGACAAGGCAAAATTGGCTGGCATGGTCTATATTTCCTCTTCAGCTGACTCCAAACATGAAATGTTAACTGTGTTTGTCAGAAAGGTGTGAAAATCAAAGGAGGGATGAAGGGACAAGAATGATGAAACGGAAAGAGATGAAAATAAAGCAACTCAGAAAGAGACAGTTGTATGTCCCTCCCCCTCATGGTACTCTGAATAATTCTGGCACAATGTTCTAGAACTTTGCTTATGAACTTCATCCACCAAAATCGTGTCAAGCAGAGCGAATATAATAAAAAAAACCTGTTTCGTACATAGTTCCTACTGATTCCAAAAGGAACTCAGCACACACAGCTCTCTCGCTTATGAACTTCACCCACCAAAATCGTGTCAAGCAGAGCAGATATAATAAAAAAAAAACCTGTTTTGTACATAGTTCCTACTGATTTCAAAAGGAACTCAGCACACACAGCTCTCTCTGAAGTGCAGCCAATTAATTTCAAGTGGGCCAGAAAGGCAGCAAACCTGTGCTAGCTGAGGAAATATTGCAAACCAGCCATGACAAGGCTGCCAGTTTGCTTTAAACCACTGTGGGCGAAACCCTGAATTTTATGTGGAAGGCTGAATTCCTTTTTTCCCCTCTTCTGTAGAAATTGCCAGGTATTTGTTACACTAGGAGGTTACAGTGACAAATAATGTCTTCCTGTCTATTCTAAGTCACTTACCCTGATGTCTAAAAGTACAATTCTATGAGACACCTAGACACACATGAATCTCTAGAAGTGAATGGGGGAGTGTATATAGAAGGATTTTAGTGCCTGAAAATTAACCTTCTCCATATTGTTAGTCCATTAACCTTTGAGAGAATGTCAAGATACAGTTAAAAAATTAATGCTCTTAAGATTATTTAAACACAGATGTGCATGCATCTGTGGCCAGTCAACTAGCTAGTTGCTTTATAATGTGGGTGGCAAGTGAAGAATATGAAGGAGAAAGGAAACTTTGCTCGAAAAACTCCATCTAAAAATAAACTGAGGTGTTCCCTCAACATTACTTGACATCACATAGCAGTGCAACTCCACGTAATATCCAGTGGTCAGGAGGCTGGGTGGTCCGTAGATCTACTGCAGCAATGTAATTCAGATCTGTTCGAACTGGTTTTTTGTAGATCGGACACGAGTATAGCCGCGGATCTCTTGAGGCTAAGAAGATGAAAAGCAAAATAAAAAACAAGAAAAAATGATTTATTTCTTTAAAGCTGGGAACAAAATAAACATAATAGTGGAGGGCATGGAATTAAAAATTGGTACAGCAGGATAGAATTTCAACTTAAATAGAAATCTGGGCATATAGTGCAATAGGACAACCATTGGGCTTGGATGTGTAAAGCATAAGAGCTAATCTCAACCAAGTACTGTATCTATTGAGTTTGAGCAAAGGGCTTCCTCAAAGCTAAAACAAGGCAAAGAGAAGCTGCTCTGAGCTATGAAGACAAGGTGAGAAAGAGCTCTTGAGTTCTTCTTGATAAATGACTATGGTAGCAAGCCTAAATGCTCACTTACCTGGGGATAAATTTTCCGGAATGCAATATAAATTATTTTTTACTTGGCATGTACAGGTAAAACATAAAAATTAGAATAGAAAGGCATAATGTTGACTCAAATTATCTTCCAACAGAGCGTTTAATTATTTCTAACCCATATGCAAGAAAATGGTTTAAAAATGCTGTTTATCTAGATTACAAACCAAGGACTTTTTACATCTAAAAGTCAATAAAAGATACCCAGTTAAATTTGTGGGCATAACAAACTCCTGTTTGGAGCATGCCTAACACACCCATTAAATTATGTTTAGAATTATCTAATTCAGAGTTAGAGGTATCTGATTTCAGAGGGTTTAGGCCATATTCAGTGTGGCATAGAGCAGGGGTGAGTTATGGTAGCCTTCTAGCTGTTGCATGCCACTCTCACAAATCCTCACTCTTGGTTTTTATTGGCATGCACCAATGGGAGTGGCAAGTGTAAAATATTGTGAAAGCCACAGTTGCCCACACAGGGGTATTGATCTATGACTACCATTTCTAGTGCCAAGAATGATAGAAACACCAATGACACCACGTTGGGCATGTACAGAGTATATAAGATTTAAGGATTCAAAACTGAGCTTTATCTAGAACAGAGCAATGGGGCTTTGATCAACAGCACTGAAGTTCAGAAGGCAGAAAATTTTGCTTCTGCAAGACCCACCCACTGACATATGCTGCTGGAAGGACATGAACCCTGTCACCCTGAGCATGACACACTGTCTTCACCTTGCTCTTACTGAAGCAGAAGGGAACCCAAAACAGGCAGGCTCAGTATGATGGGTGCCCAGAACCAGGCATTCCTCTTTATCCCTCTGTCCTTTTGCCATATATGCCCATCTTGTATAAATCAAGCTTAGCTATTAGGGAGTGAAGCCCTGGGAGCTAAAGCAGTTAATGTCAGCCCTGCTCCACATTGTAGTTTGACAGATTTATTTCGATACCAAAAGAAGCATTTTCTGACCAACATTTAAAATGCCAGTACTAAACCAGGAAATTATATTCAAAACACTCATATATATAGAATGTTAGGAATAACTTATATAAATAAAAAATTAAAAATCATAGGAACAACTTCACAACAAAATATTCTTTCTCGTTGCCAGATACTGAATGACAACAATGTATGTATGTATGTATGTATGTATGTATGTATGTATGTATGTATGTATGTATGTATGTATGTATGTATGTATGTATGTATGTATGTATGTATGTATGTATGTATGTATGTATGTATGTATGTATGTATGTATGTATTGATTTATTGATTTATTGATTGATTGATTGATTGATTAGATTGATTTGATTTATTTGATTTATTTGATTTATTTATTTATTTGATTTATACCCTGCCCATCTGGCCTAAACATACAATGGATATTGAAAGACATGAAGAGTAACATGGCATCCCATTAAAACAGCAAAAATATGAAACGATATTTTGCACGACACTGTAATTTGTTCGACATATTTTGACTGTACTGCTTTCTCCAGTGTCATACATGAAAGCTTACAATAGCTACTTCAGTCAAAGTCCAGAAGACACAGTATCCAGACTTGTTCCGTATCAAAATCATGTGTCTATGTTGTTAAAGAAGATGGTATAGAAGGCTAATATAATCTTACTGAAAAGGTCTGAGTGAAATGTGGTCTGACTAAACCTTTACGCCAACAATTATATATCCTCCTAAATATCCAGTGCCTATCCAGCTATCTTTGTTCTAAATCCAGTGTGGCACTGATTCTGAATCTTTAGTCCGACCGAATATCCTTTTCTCTCTATCTCTTGTCCTTGCTGCTGGCCCAAATGGACTCCAGAAGGTTTCCCAGCTCCCAGGAGAATGTTTTGGGGTGCACAAGTGGCTGCAATGGAAAGGGAAGCTTGTCTCCTTCCCCAATTCCAGTGAACTCTCCTTTTCCACCAGCATAGCACCAGTGCTGGATCTTGCCCTTCATATACACTGTCAATAAAGATCCTTAGTATATCTGTAGTTCTCTCCATGTGGGTGTAATTTGCCTCCATGGTAAAAGAAAAGGGAGGGAAATGATGCCCTTGGGAACATGGCTGGCATGGAAGCCATATGTACCATTCAGACAATAGCTAGCCCAATACCCACCGAGAAGGCTCCCATTAAAGGTTTGTGCTAAGTGCAAGCCCCTTCAGATGCAGGCAAGCCAAATATGATAGACTGTTTATCTATCTCTTACAATGGGATTCTCAGCTAGGTAAACTGCAGTAGCCATAGAATCAACTATGCCCAAAATAAAATAAAAATAGGAACGCAAGCTACAAAAAAAATTCCTTCACAGCTTGTATATTTATTTCTTGTGGGATCTTAAACAAAACTGACTGTTTTCAGGCAGACAGCACAAGCTGAATTTCACACAGCAGAACAGCCCGGGCTTCTGGTGTCCATCTCTCCAGCCCACAATCTATTTTGACAGCTGCTTCCCTCTCCCAAGGACCCTAGAGGTCCTTCTTTTCAGTTTTAAAGTTGCTCTTTCAATCTTTTGACTTGTTTGCTCAAGCAGATCCAAACTTTACACATTTAACTGTCAACACTAGCCCCGGCATAGCCAGCTACAACTTGCAGCCTCCCCATACTTGCTAGATCCTTTGCATTCTGAGCAGTAGCAAAAAGTTGAGTTTGAAGCTGAGTGACCTATATGTTATATTTTTTTAAAAAATCACCTGAAATAATATTAGGTGTGAATAAAAACTAAATAGATCTCTTTGCACTGACTTTTTCTTTCATATATTTTAAATCTTCCCTTCTTATCCCTAGGTTTCATTGTATGGGTGTTGTTTACTTTTGTTTTGTTTTTTTTCAAATAGGAATTGTGATGTATCACAGATTATTATATTAATTCATTATTTCCCCCACACACACACCTCCCGTTTATTGACTAATATACTTCAAGTGTAAGCCACCCACTCAGCATTTGGCAATACAGCCACATGCACAATCTTGAACTCACTGGAAAAAACATAGGATTATAAATGTAATTTATGAATAAAATAAAATAAAATAAATAGAATGTAATGGGGCTAAGCATGCCAAAAGTACACAGGATGGTATTTCCAAAATGTAGGTAATACTGAACTGATCAGTACCCATTTTAACTAATATGGTTCTATAATCCATGTGATTTGCACTCATATGAAATGGTTACATATTCAGGCATAGCCTTAGGTTGTATAACTGATACACATTAGATTCCCCCCTCCAGCTGACTGCCTTTTCATATAACTAGCTAAAGTCCTTAAAGCAAGGACAGGGAAATTCTCTTGGCGGGTGATGGGAGGTGCACTGAATCATTCAGAATGGAAACCATCAGAGCCCCCTCTCCATAGGTACTAGGGCTCTAAATTCTGACTGAAGTATCCTCACAGATGAGGACAATGACTCACAATATTCTTCTCCTTGCCGGAGAGGACTGTGCGAGATTTTCTGCTGCTGTCAATTCCGTTTGCACAAATGAATTAAGCACAAAATATACAGATGTTGTGCAAAACTGAGGTAGCAGCTCCTCAAACGAAGGGGAATAAACAATTTTAAGTTGTGGTTGGAGTTTTTTGTTTTTGTTTTTTGTCTCTTTTGCAATGATCAGCCAGTGTTTTTTGTATGCTGTATATGTGTATCCGTGCTTTGTTTCTCAAGGGAAAAAAACTAGTTTATCCATATATTGAGCAAATTATGGAGACCTTAACTGGGAAGAAAATGAGTCCTTTATCTCATCACCAGCTGGAGACACAAGAAGGAACAGCAAACACTTTCAGTTCCCTAGAACAAAATTTTGCAGAACGCTGTAATTTGTCAGACATATTTTGACGATACTGCTTTCTCCAGCATCATACATCAAAGCTCTAGGGTTGGAGATTTTGTCAAATAATAAGGAATTTCCTAAGTATTCTTCCCATCCATAATAAGCACTCAGGAACAACAGGGACACAAACATAGAGACAGATCTGTTTAACTCTGCTGCCAGAGGGATGGTTAAAGCCTCCTCCCAATCCCAGCCAGGTTTATCAGGTTCAGGAAGAAGAAGGAAACTATTAATGTTGTCTTCTTCCCAGTAATTGTCCTGAGAAGGAAGCTACAGGGTGATCACTTTCCCTGCATGCCCTCTTTTCCAGAATGCTAGAATTGAGTGTGCAGGGAGACTTATCTTCATGCATCAGTGCTAGTTCTGGTAAATACAGTGGTGCCTCACTAGACGATTGCCTCGCAGGACGAAAAACCTGCAAGATGATTGTTTTTGCGATCACTATGGTGCCTCACAAGACCTTTTTTTCTATGACCGTGCTTCGCAAGACTTTTTTTTTGAGACCGATGCTTCGTAAGACTTTTTTTTTAGACTGATGCTTTGCAAGATTTATTTATTTATTTATTGAGACCGATGCATGGGAAACCTCACAAGATGATTTTTCACAAGACGACGATTTTTGCGGAACGAATTAAAATCATCTTGCGAGGCACCCACTATACTAGTGTTGGAAAAGACTGTTGGACTGAAGAGTCATAGTGTAAGTAGCCTTTTCCTACTTCCTGATACTAGTTGAGAGAAGAAACACCTCCAAGATCTGTACACCTGTAAGTTTGAAAGATTGTTTCA